TTTGGTTTTTCGAGACAGGGTTTCTCTGTGGCTTTGGAGCCTGTCCTGGAACTAGCTCGGTAGACCAGGCTGGTCTCGAACTCACAGAGATCCGCCTGGCTCTGCCTCCGAGTGCTGGGATTAAAGGCATGCGCCACCGTCGCCTGGCAAAAATGTGTAGCCCAGGCTGGCCTCGAACTCGTGATCCTCCTGCCTCTGCCTCCTTCAGCAAATCCTACCGGCGTGCGCCACCACTTCCGGCTTTACTGGGGTTCTTAACGGGAGTGTAGGGGAGGGCTACTGGCAAGGAGCAGGGCTAACTCCACGTCATGCAGCTGCAGGGCCAGAGAGCCTACTCTATGTAGATTCAGGAAATCTACAACTCTGGAGCTTTCTATGTGGCTCACTCCAAAACTATCTCTTTTTCTGCCACTTTCCCCCTCTTGGTCATAGTTTTCTCCTCTTCATCCGCCTGGGTAACAGCCCTCAGAAAGCTTCCAAGTTCCTGTTTTCACACCGCCCTGTGTTTGCCTCCTGAGGCTCAAGGGCCTTCCCTTTCTCCTAGTGCAAATGTTTCAGTTTGGAGGGAATGTTGCAGGTTGTGAGGAACCTGCCTTACCAGAGGGGGCCTCACAGAGGGAATGAGATTGTCCATAATGTCTCGGCAAGCATGTGTAGGATTTTGGCCAATAATAAAAGGCAGACAGAAAGAACCTCTCTACCTTATCCTGGCCCCGTGGTTTCTCTGGCTCTGTTCCTTGGGACTGGTGAACTCACCCTGGAAACCAAGCCCAATAAACCTGCATTTATCTGTTTTAAATCTGGTCTGATCTGGCCTTTTTGTGTTGGCAGAAACTAATCATCTGCTTTTTAAAATTTAAACCACAGAAAGCAGAACAGAATTAGTGAAAAACTGTAAGTAACTCCTCTGGGGGAAGGACTTGGGGTGTGTTAGTGCATTATCTCATTAAGGAGATAATTATTCTTTCCATCTCCTTAGCATGTCTTTAGGCAAATTAGCTTGGGTCTGGAGTCACGTGACTGACAGACTTAGTTGGATTAACTGCCGGGCACACCTGGCCCGGCACCTTGAGGGGACCTTGCAGAGGGGACCTGTGCCTCATACACCTTGAGGGGACCTGTGCCCCATACAGGGCAGGCAGTATGCTGTCCCTTTAAAAAGTGAAACTCTACCTACTTCTACCTCCCTCTTCTTCTTCTCTTGGGCTGCTCCTGTCCCCTGAGGTTGGTCTTTTCCTTCCCCTCTCTCCCTTTCCCACACCCTTCTCTTAATAAAACTTCCCACGGAAGCGTGTCTGTCTCTCACCCACCAAGGTCTCTCTCCCACAGAATCATATCATTAACTCTAAAGGGAGGGAACAATCGTACAAAAAGATTATAGATTTTAGAACAGATTATATATGTCTCTCTTCACCTAAGGACAAAGGTAGAATTTAGATTCTATTCCTTTGAGCAAGAGTGTTCTAGTTTGTTTGTTTGTTTGTTTTTTGTTTTCATAAATAAAACACTGGCTAAAAGCATCTTGGGGGGAGGAAATGGTTTATCTGCCTTACTGGTTCATCAAGAAAGTAAACAAGGGCAGGAACTCAACCAGGAACCTGAAGGCAGGAACTGAGCAAAGCCACTGAGGGACACTGCTTAATGGCTGGTATCCCTGGCTTGCTCAGCCAGTTTTCCTATACAGCCCAGCCAGTGGTTTTCAACCCGTGAATCATGAAACTCTTAACAAACCTGTATTCGCAAAAATATTTACACTATGATTCCTGACAGGAGCAAAACTACAGGGATGAAGTGGCAGCGAAAATAAGGCCTGGGGTCACCACAGCACGAGCAACTGCACTAAAGGGTAGCAGCATCAGGAAGGCTGAGACCCACCGCCCCACTTGGCTCAGGAAGGGCACTGCCCACAGTGCGTTTGGGGCTCTCCCGTCAACTAGCAATCAAGAAAATGCCCAGCGAACATGGTCACAGGCCAATCAGTTCCTGGACTGAGGTTTCCTCTCCTAGGTGTGTCGTGTCCCGTCGACAACGGAAGCTATTACAAGGAGGAACCAGCTCTGCCCTAGTGGGCCACAGCCACAGTGAAGTCCTGCCGGCTCCATCTTTTCATACGGTGTTTTAAATCTCAAGGGGAAAACGCAAGGCTTCCCGGTCTACACTCACCTAGTAGTAGCCAAGTGGTCAATTTCTACCTTTCTGCCAATTACACATGATTACTGACCCTTTCGAGACAGAGACTTCCCAAAACTGCTAAATGTTTGCGATAGAGAAAACAAAACAAAAAAAAGATTAAAAAACAACAAAAAAAACACATCAAAACTGCCTGCCCCAGAAATGATAATCTTTTTCCCCCCCATCTTTTTTTTTTTTTTTTTTTTGAGATAATATTTCTCTGTGGCTTTAGAGCCTGTCTGGGAATTAACTCTTGTAGAGCAGGCTGGCCTTGAACTCTCAGAGGTCCACCTTCCTTTGCTTCCTGGACTGGGATTAAGGGCGCGCGCCACCACCGCCCAGCTAAAGCTGCCTGTCCCAGAAATGACAAAGTCTTAGGTACTAATTTTTGATGTTTCATGGGTCCTCTGGAGCATGTTCCCTAGCCCTCACCGAGAAAGAATTTCCTCATTTGTAATAACCTAGTCTCTGGATTTAAGTATTCTGATCTGGGAAAGGGAGGATTCCCAAAGGCTGCTTCAAACCCAGATCCTTCAGGGACACCCAGCTTGAGCTGTGATTAGCAGAAAAACACTTTCACGTGTCAAAGATACCCTTTTGAAAGTGACATGTCAGTCCATAGTGGGAGAGACGCTTGGATTCTTTCTATCTGGGGGTTTCTCTTGTTTGGATGGAGGGGAAAAAAAGGACGCGTGTCATTGGCTTATGCACTGAGTCAAAACAGGCTTGGGCTTGGAAGACAGAGGCGGGAGCCTGAGACCCAGGGGGCGGGGCGGGAGGGGCGGGGTCAGGTGGAACCGCCCCTCTACTTCGTGGCCGCTTCCAGCTACTCACCAGGGCGGGGCTTCCTCTTCGCTTGACCTCGGAAGGAAGGGGGAGGGCCCTTTGGGGCGGAAGTTGCGATGCATTGTGGGCTCGCCGGGAGCCTCGGAGTCGAACCTGAATGAAAGTGGCGCGCCGCTGAGGAGCCGGGTGGGGTTGCCGGCGCTAGGGTCCGGGCCGCTCGCTCCCGAGCGGTCGGCTAGGTGGCGGTGTGCGGCGCCGACATGGCTTACAACAAGATCCCGCCGCGGTGGCTGAACTGTCCGCGGCGCGGCCAGCCGGTGGCAGGTACCGGGGACGGGGCTGCGGGCGGGTTCGAATCCCACTCCTCCAGCCGGGCCTGGGAACCGCGCGCTCGGCGGCGGCCAGTCCGGGCTCCCGCAGGGCTGGGGAGCGAGGACGGGAGGTGAACAGGAGGCTTCCGGAGCTTGAAGTTGGTGAGCTTCTCTCTGGGTGATTTGGAGACTGGGTCTCGCTGTCTGGAGACACTTGTTCTCGGAACAAGGACAGGAGCCGAGTGTAAGTCTTGAGATTGAGGAAGGCTTCAAGAGAAAGAAGCCTGGGAAGCCGGGGGAGTTTTGGTTTTTCTTTGAAACGGACTTTTGTGGAATGTTTCCATCTTGAGTTTGACGTAGAGTAGCTTCGCTCTGGAACTTGGGAGATGCTTGGGCCCGTGTCACTGCTTGACTAAGGGACAGGGACTTAACAGTGTACAGTTTGATGAATTTGGACCACACACAGATATCCCAGGGACTACCCCTGAAATAGCTGAGACACAGTTCTCTGAATTTGGGGAGACATCGCAGATGGTAGCTTTAAGGGACCACAGTTAACCAGCAACAAGGTTAGATAGCAGTTTGGAACTTTGTCGACTGGACCTAGGAACCAAAAACAGTTTTTACGCTAAAAATGAGGAAGGAACACTCAAACTGTTTACACTGGATTTTTTTTTTTTTTGGTTGTTTTGAGACAGGGTTTCTCTCTGTAGCTTTGGAGCCTGTCCAAGAACTAGCTCTTGTAGACCAGGCTGGTCTCGAATTCACAGAGATCGCCTGCCTCTGCCTCCCGAGTACTGGGATTAAAGGCGTGCACTATCACTGCCTGGCAGATTTACTGTTATAGAATAGTCATCGGACAGTTGGTTGCAGATCTTTACTGCTAAGCCTTCATTTATGAGTTCTCAGGTAAACTTTACCGTTCCTTCCCCTCTTTGGATGCTCTTTGAATAGCATCCGAAATACAGTGAGCGATGGCTCTCCATTGAGGAGCTGGTACCTCTACTTGTTGCTTTTTCTTGGAGAAGCCCATACCCTTGCTTTCTGTTGTCGTTATTTTGAGCGACTCTCTTTCTCTGAACTCTTGAGCTCAAATCCGTTTTAAAATATCTTCATTAAGCTACAACGGTGCTTCAGAACAAAGCCAAACCCAAAGTAGACAAGTTTTACGATGGCGCTTATGTGAGGATTTCAGCATCTATCCAGGGAAGGACAGTTTTGTTAAAGGTCAGGATCTGGTGGTAACTGAGTATCCTTTCTGGCACCATCCGGCATTGGGAATTAAATTTACGGCATCTTACGGCATCTCAGAATTTTTGCCACATTCAAAGGTCTCTCACTTTTTTCTGTTACTGTGCTTAAGTACCCCCTTTCAGGACATCCCAGTCAATGCCATCCATGTGGTGACACGTGAGTGGGAAGCGCTCTGAAGCCACGCTCATCTCCAGCACAGCTGGCCTCCCTAGTGAAATGGCTAGCTGGGAGCCCAAGTCTCGGGGCCGCAGGGTTGTCGCAGTGCTGCTGCTCTCTTCCAGAGGACACGAGTTCAGTTCCCAGCACAACCACCTGTAGCTCTAGTTCCAGGGTATCTGATACCCTCTTTCGGCTTCCTCCAGTACCTGCACACACGAGGCATATACTCATATAATCACACACACATACACGTAAGCAAAAATAAACCAGAAAAGATACTCAGAAAGCAAGTGAGTCTAGCCAGGAGGTGGTGGCACACGCCTTTAATCCCAGCACTCAGAAGGCAGAGGCAGGTGGATCTCTGTGAGTTTGAGGCCAGCCTGGTCTGTAAGAGCTAGTTCCAGGACAGGCTCCAAAGTTACACAGAGAAACCCTGTCTCGAAAAACAAAAAATAAAGAAAAATAAAAATAAAGTCTAAACATGAAGCCCATATACATTTAAAACTCACACTCTTGGTGTATTTTTTCATTTGGTTTACATGAAACATTTTCACTTTAATATACAGTTTGTCTTCCTCATACAACCCACCATGTAGCTGTTTATAGATTCAACATGTAGACATAAGGAAAATAATAATTTGACTTTTGCATTATAGTCTTTCTATACACCGTTGTATGAGACTTCTGCAATCCTTCTTTCCTAGACAGCTGTTTATCTGCTTTCTGTCACCATCAGTGACGTGCATTTTTTAATAAATGGCAAACATCATGTACTCAGTATACGTCTATGTTGTATAGGTTGGCCTGTCTGGTTGGAGGATGACTTTAACTCTCAGTCCTCCTGTTTCTGTTCCCTAAATGGTGGGATTAGATGTATCTCCCGTCTCCCACACCCTGCTGTCAGTTTTTAATGAGAGTTTGAGTTGTTAGAGGAGTTCCTTACATTTGTCATTCCATTTTGTCGCCTGCTTTTTTATTCTAATGGTTAATGCATTTGCTGGGTGTGGTGCTACAGACCTTTAATGCCAGCACTAGGTAGGCAGAGGCAGGTGAGTCTTGTGAGTTTGAGGCAGCCTGGTCTCAAGACTGAGTTCCAGGACAGCCAGGGCTGCATAATTAGACCCTAGCTCAAAAATAAAAAAAGTGAAAGCTTAAAATTTTAACTAATTTACAACTTACTTTTGTGCGTGCGAGTGTGTATGCGTGCGTGTGTGTGTGTGTGTGTGTGTGTGTGTGTGTGTGTGTTTTGAGACCCACCTGCCTCTGCTTCCCAAGTGCTGGGATTAAAGACTTACTTTTTTTTTTTAAATGATGGCAGAATCTTATGTGTGCTAATATTAAGCACATATTTTACAACATTACCTAACTATATGAAATTTTTAGAATCAGAGATACCATTATTACTTGTTCATGTTGATTCTTCTGTTTTGTGTTTAAGATTTTATATGAAGTCCTCAGTCAATAAAACCATATAAACAATTGATAAAAGTGATCTGAAAGACTTTAAATAGAGATGATGGCAGATGTATGTAATCCCAGCATTTACAGCTGAGGAAGGAGGATTGGTTTGAGTTCAAGGCCAGCCTGGGTAAGACTGTTGGAAAAAAAAAGGATAAAAGAAAGAGAGAGAGAGAGAGAGAGAGAGAGAGAGAGAGAGAGATAATTTAAAGCCAGATGTGGTAGCATACACCTATAATTTTAGCATTTAGGAGGATGGGGCAGGAATGTCAAATCTTTGAGGCCATTCTGGGTTACATAGAGAGACCCTGTCTCAGAAATAAAAAAAGCTCTTAAATAGCTCAATTCCTTAAATAGAAAAGAAAGATAATTTAATCAAGTTGTAGTGTGAAGAAATTAAAAAAAGCAACCCTTTTTATTCTCACCATACTTACATATGTATTTTTGTTTATAATGATACTCTTTGATAGTCCTATTATCTTCATTCTCAGTCTTTTTTTAAAAAATATTTATTTATTTATTATGTATACAATATTCTTCCTGTGTGTATGCCTGCAGGCCAGAAGAGGGCACCAGACCTCATTACAGATGGTTGTGAGCCACCATGTGGTTGCTGGGAATTGAACTCAGGACCTTTGGAAGAGCAGGCAATGCTCTTAACCGCTGAGCCATCTCTCCAGCCCCATTCTGAGTCTTTTAAGAAGTATTTCTTTACACCAGGCTGTGGTAGCACACACTTTTAATCCCAGCACTCTGGAGGCAGAGGCAGGTGAATCTCTCTTGAGTTTGAGGCCAGCCTGGTCTACAGATTCAGTTCCAGGACACCAAGGCTACACAGAGAAACTGTAAACCGTGTCTTGAAAAACCAAAAAAAAAAAAAAAAAAAAAAAAAAAAGAGAGACAGACAGAGAAATATTTATTTACAGCTGTGGCACATGACTTTAACCCCAGCACTTGGGAGGCAGAGACAGGGGGTCTGTAAGTTTCAGGATAGCCAGAGAAACCTTGTCTCAAAAAAAAAACCCAAAACAACAACAACAAAAAAAAAACCCAAACCAAACACGCAGAAAAAGTTAACAATTGTTTACTTAGTAATGCGTAATGGTTTGGATTGAATTTCGAGCCTCATACATACTAGGCATTTGTGCCACTGACCTATATTTCCATTCTTTGTCTATGCATTTGTGTGTGTGATAGACATGTATAGGTCTGTACTCAGTGGAAGATGTTGAGTGTCCTGCTCTATATTGTCTTTACTCCCTTGAGAAAGGGTCTCTCCTTGCGCCTAAAGCTAGTTTGGGAGCCAGCAAGTCCCAGTGACCCTGTTATCCATATACAGATGGATGTGGGGCCATCCACTGATGCATAGTCCACACCCCTAAGGAAACTGAAATTAACTCACCTTTACTGAGCATGGATCAAGCTTTCAGCACGGGGAGGAGTTTCATGTGCCCCATCCCCAAAGATTCCTTTGTTTTTGAGAGGCCTCCCCCTATGCTGGCCCCAGACTCACGGTGTAGCTGAGAATGAGGCGACCCTGAGCTCACCCTTTCCTTCTGCTGTTGCTGTCACGGGCCAACACTCCTGGTTCTGTGTGGTGCCAGGCTAGCAAACCAGTGCCTGGTCGGCAAAATGCCCCCCAAAGATTTCTGTAAGTTATAATTTTATTTGAATTGGTAATGTATATTTGAGAATCATCAGTGTAAATCTTAGTTTTGTGTGTGTGTGTGTGTGTGTGTGTGTGTGTGTGTTTGGGGGGAGATTGAAGCCCAAACTCCCCAAGTCTTGTGTATGGAAGGCAGGGAAGTTTTTCAGGAAGGGTGCTGCTGGGTGCATGAAGTGCTGCTGAGTTGTTGACAAGTGTGAGAAGTGTTTTTCTTCCTCCTAGGATGTAATCACCTTTGCAAGGAGAGGGATTTAAAGGAGTGGGGGGAGAATTCTAATTAGACTGCATGATAACTCAAAATTAGTGTGAATTACGTGTAGTTACGGACAAGTGAAGTCATTGCTGTTTTGACTACATGTACAAATAAGTATTTATATTCATTTTCTTTTTTTTTTTAGAGTTAGGGTTTCAATATTTAGCTCAGGTTGGCATGAAATTTAGTATTCAATATTTAGAATTTACAGAAATCTGCTTGCCTCAGCCTCTTGAGTGCTGGGATTAAAGGAGTGAACCACTATGTCTGGTGGGCTGGAGATGTGGCTCAGTAGGAGAACGTTGCCTAGCATATAAGAGAGGAAAAAAGAAAAAGTGAGGAATGAAAATGATACACAGTCTGCGAGAGTTTGTTTGAGTCCTGTTCTTTTCTGGTCATGTCTATTCAGGGTTCTAAATGTGTCAGTGTTTGAATGCCATTTCTTTTCCTAGTTTTGGAAAATAGTCTGCCAGGATTGTATTGAATGTTTCCTGTGCCTTTAGTCTGCATCTTATTTCCTTGTTTTACAGCACAGATTCCTAGGTTTGGTGTCTTCTGTTGTTTATCTTGAACACTGTGGTCGTGATCATTCATTTCTTTATTATCTGGGATATAATAATTCCTTAGCCTTGTCTTCATTCATTGATATTCTTTCTTCTACTTAGTTTGTTATGATACTTTCCCTTGCACTTTTTATTGGTTCCATTGCGTCGTTGAGTTCGGGTCCTGGAGAAATGGCTCTTGTTGCTCTTCTAGAGGACAGCACTTACATGGCAGTTTACAACTGTCTGTAGTCTTAGTTCCAGGGAATAATGTCTTCTGGTCTCCTCAGGCACTAGGCATACATATGATCTACATAAATACATGTAGACAAGACACAACAAAAATCAGTAAGACAGTATACACCACCAGTAAATATGAAAATAGGAGTTAAAAATTGATAATGGGATGGTGAGATCAGCCGGTAAAGGTGCTTAATACTAAACCTGGCACTTGAATTCAACACCAGGGTTTAACATGGTAGAAAGAAAGGACAGCGTCTCCAGCAAATTGTCATATGACCTCCACATGCAAGCTGAGCTGTGTGCATGCACACAAATATATGTAACAAAATTAAAATTATACTGTTACCAATTAAAAATTTTAGTTACATTTATTTAATAGTAGCTAGCTGTGGTGGCACACATTTGTAATTCCAGCACTTGGCATGGAGAGGCAGGGAGCTCAAACCCAGCCTGGGTTTACACCATTTAAAAAACAGGTACCAAACAAACAGTAAGTCTTTAGCAGTTGATTCTGGTTAATACCATTTTAACGCTGTAACATCCTCCATGATCTTTTTCCTGAGATGTGGATGAGGTTCAAAGATGGAAATACTTAACAACCTTCACATACAGCCAAGGCTGGGGAAATCCTTTAGTTAGTAGATTAGTTGCCTGACATGCACAAAGTCCTGCTTTTGATCTCCAGCATTACATAAAACCATCACTCTGAAAATTGAGGTAGGAGAATCAGGAGGTCAAGGTTATCCCCCGCTATGCATTGTTTGAGGCTAAACTTGATATCCCTGCTTTAAATATCAAATAAACAGCAACAGCAACCCCCCCCCCCCCCAATACCAATGCCATGTAATCAGGAACTTGAAATAAATTGAGTTAAACTGGAGTGTTGGTACATACTTACAACTCCAGCTTTTGGAGATATTGTGTGAGGTGCTATTTCTGGGTAAATGTGAACATCTATTCTTACCCCAGATAGGGAAATGACAGTAGACAAGAAGTAAGGATATTTACCAAAGTTCAACTTGGTGAGCAAATGAGTTTTATTGGGGTTCTTGCTCATAGAAGCAGATGACTTTAGTGGTATAGATTCCTAAAAAAAGGATTTATTTATGTTTTATTTACATATACGTGTGTGAGCCTGTATAAGTTTATGTGCACCATGTGCGTGCAGGAGTCTGGCGGCCAGAAGAAGGAATCGGATCCTTTGGAACTGGAGTCACATGTGGTTGTGAACCATCGTATGGGTGCTGGGAATTGAACCCAGTTCCTCTGCAAGAGCAATAAGTGCTCTTAACAGCTGAGTCATCTCTCCAGCCCCAAGTTTAGATTCTTTACGGATGTTTCACTCATTGGTAATTTTTCTTTGTTTATATCATCAAATTCTAGAATAAATTCAATTAATTAATCTGCATTTAGAGTGAAAGAACATTATGGGTAATTGCGTTTATAATTTTGTATTTCATTTTAAGGTATTAACAAAGTGGGGTTGGGATGTAGTTCATTTAGTATAATGCTTGTTTACTACCAGGGAGCCATGGGTTCTATACTCAGCACTACATAAAGCCAGGCAAGTGGTAGGCCAGAATCAAAAAATCAAGGTCATCCTCATCTACACAGTGAATCTCATGCCAGCCTGGCATACATGAGACTCTCCTTCAATAAAAAACAAAGACAAAATGTTATTTTAAGAAGGCAGGTTTGAAAAAGCAAATTATAGAATTTTAGTCCTTTCTTTAAATAATGAAAATTATTATTCACCTTGATGTTTAGGAAGATTCCTACCTCTGAAGACAATGCTGGGGCCACGATATGATAGTCAAGTTGCTGAAGAAAACCGCTTCCATCCTAGTATGCTCTCAAATTACCTAAAGAGTCTGAAGGTAAGAAGCAAAGCTCTTTGCTACTAATGTAGTCTTCCTTCCCTGCTTCATCTTCAAGGGCTTTCAGTGAGGGATATATGCTTACACATGGGTACAGAGGCCAGAAGACAGCCTTGGGTGTGGTTCTCAGGTGCTGTTCACGTTTCTGTTCTTGAGATAATATTTCTCATTGGTAGATTCCTTTCATATGCGTGTTTATTTTCAGAAGCTTCTGCAGTAGTAGGTTTCCGTATGACTTAAATGGCCTTTAGTGTTAGTTGTCCCTCCCCATATTCCCTTTTTTCCTCCCTTACTCTTCCTCTCCTCCCCCGCCCTCATTTAATCCTACTATTCTAGTTTCCCTTTGTTTCTTCCTAACACTGTATTCTATTTCCCATTCCTTGAGAGAGCCTCTCCTCCTCACTGGTCCCTTCCTAGGTACCTAATCTCTGTGACTGTTCAGATTGTAGCATACATATTGAAAGCCTAAAGCTAATATCGACATGAAAGAGAACAGCATACAGTATTTGTCTTTTTGGGTCCATATTACCTCTCTCAAGATGAATTATTCTAACTCCACCCATTTACCTGCAAATTTCATTTTTTAAATAGCTGACTCATATTCCATTGTATAAAAGTATCACATTTTTATTATCCATCAGTTGATGGATATCTAGGCAGTTTCCAGTTTCTGACTATTATGAATAGAGCAGCACTGGACATGGATAAGTAAGTATGTCCACAGTAGGATGTGAAATTCCTTGGTTTTATGTGCAAGGGTATGTGCTGGATCTTAAGGTAGATCGATTCCCAGCTTCTTGAGGAACTGCAACACTGGTTTCTACAATGATTGTACCAGTTTGCACACTCCCCAGCAATGAAGAAGTATCCCCTTTCCCAGCATCCTTGCCAGCATTTGCTATCATTGCTTTATTGTTCTTGGCCATTCTGACTTGTATAATATAAAATCTCAAAGTCATTCTAATTTGCATTTCCCTGATGTCTCAGGATATTGAACATTTTTTTTTGTTTCTCAGCCATTTGTATTTCACCTTTTGAGAACTTTATGCTTAGTTCTATACCTCATTTTTTAATTAGTTTATTTTCTTGATGTTCAGTTTTTTAAGTTCTTCATGTTTTCTAGATACTGATCTATCAGATGTGTAATTGGTAAAGATCTTATCTCATTCCATAACCTACTATGTTCTGAATGATGGTGTCTTTTGCCATTACAGAACTTCTCAGATACATGAGGTTCTATTTAATAATTGTTGTTTCTCGTACTTGTGCTATTGGTGTCCTGTTTAGAAAGTCCTTTCCCATGCCAGTGAGTTCAAGTCTGTTCCCTGCTTTGTCTCTATCAGATTCAGAGTATCGGGTCTTACTTGAGATCTTGATCCATGTGGACTTGATAGGTATTGTTTGCATTCCCCCTTCTACATGCAGCCGTGAACTTTGAGCAGTGTCATTTGTTGAAGACGCTGTCTTTTCTTCAGTGTGTATTTTTGACTTCTTTATCAAAAATCAGGTATCCAAAGGTGTGTGGAAATACTTCTGGGTCTTTAATTCCATTGATTGCTTTTATTACAGTTTGAGATAGATAATAGTAATAACTCCAGTAGTGTTTTTAATATTCAGTTGTTCAGGATTGTTTATTTTAGTGTGTGTGTGTGTGTGTTTGTGTGTGTGTGTGTATTTTCAAATAAAACTGAAGGTTGTTTTCTCAATTTCTGTGAAGAACTGTGTTGGAATTTTGGTGAAGAGTGAATTGAATCTGTAGACTGCTTTTGGTAGGATGGCCACTTTCACAATATCAATTCTACTGATTCTTGGACATGGGAGATCTTTCCATCCTCTGATGTCTTCTTCAATTTTTATCTTCAGTGTTTTAAAATTTTAATTATACAAGTCTTTCACTTGCTTGGAGTTATCCCAAGATAGTTTCTTTTTGTGAGGCTACAGTGAAAGGTATTATTTCCCTAGTTTTTCTTAGTAGGTCTGTCATTTGTATATAGAAAGGTTACTGATTTTTTTATTAGTTGATTTTGTATCTTGCTACTTTTCTGAAAGTGTTTATCAGCTGTGAAAGCTTCCTGGTAGAATTTTAGGGTCTTTGTATATAAACTCTTTTGCAAATAAGAATACTTTGACTTTTCCTTTTCCTATGTATATCCCCTTCAGTTGTCTTAGTGGTCTACCTAAGACTTCAAATACTATATGGAATCTGTATGGAGAGAGTGAAAATCCTTATCCTGTTCCTGATTTTAGTGGAAATGTGTTGAATTTTTCTCCATTCATGTTGATCTTTACTGTTGGCCTGCTTATCCTTTGTATCACTAGTCTATTGTGGACTTTTATCTTGAAGGAATGCTGGATTTTGTGAAAGGCCTTTTCTGCATCTGATGAGATGATCATGTGGTTTTTGTCTTTCCATCTGTTTATGTGGGGGATTTACACTCACAGATAATGTAAAGTCTTTGGTAGGTAACTCAGTTCAGTTTTAGTTTTATTGGTTATATTTTCTTTGCATTCTTCCAAACTATGTATGGTAGAATGTTGTGGAGGATTTGTGCACTGACTCTTTCTGGAGCTCAGTTCAGGCATATACTTCTTCTCTTTCTCTTTCCCCTCTATTTTATTTTATTTTATTTTATTTTATTTTATTTTATTTTATTTTATTTTATTTTATGGGTATTTGGATAGAGTCTCATGTAACTCAGAGTGTGCTTAAAGTTGCTGTATAGCTGAAAATGACTTTGAAGTTCTGTTTCTCCTGTGCCTACCTCCCATGTACTAGGCATGAGCCACTATACTAGGCTTGGGAACTATATTTTAAAAATAGCTGTTTATATTATCTATGCCTCTTATTTTTATTGAAAATAAAATTAAGATTTTAATTTATTTTCATACCCTTATCTTGTTTCTTTCTGATATCCAGGAAGAGAAATACACGTGCAGAGGCCAGAGGTTGATGTCTGATGTCTTCCTCTGTTATTCTCCAACTTATTTTTTTGAGACAAGGTCCTTCACTGAACCTGGAGCTTGGTGATTTGGCTAGACTAGCCGGACAACAAAGCCCAGAGGATCATCCTGTCTCCACCTCCCAGCTCGGGAATCACAGGTGTGTGTTACCACACCTGCCTTTTTATGTGGGTGCTGGGGATCCGAACTCAGGTTCTCATGCTTGCGTAGCAAGCACTTTGCCAACTAAGCCATCTCCTCAGCTTTCATTTTTTTTTTTTTTTTATTCCCCGTATGTAGCTTTGGCTGTCCTAGAACTATCTGTAGAACAGGCTGGCTTCAAACTTAGAGCTCTGCCTGCCTCTGGGATTAAAGGTGTGTGCCACCACACTGGGCTTCTGTTTTTAGTTTTTACTGTGCTTCTTTAAAAGGAATATAGTTCTAGGCATTAGTGTATTTTTAGAAAATGCACTAAAATAGAAGAATAAATTAAATAGAAAAGGAACACACATTTGTTGCATAAATGGCTTCTTACATGCTTTAAGGCTGGATACAGTGTAGTGGATAGAAGTAGTGGTTGTGGTGGCTACCTCGAACCTGGGTAATGTGTGCCAGGCACTAGAGCTGTCCTGCTGTTGTAAGCTTCAGGCTTCTGAGGACCACAGGTAGATACAGAAACAGTGACAGTGTTTGCCTCCTTGAATTCACATTGTTGGCAGTGGAGTCTGTTTTGCTTATACTTTCTATCCTCCTTAGATTAGAATTATTTTCCAGTGCCCCCTTAGTTCTTATTTCTGCAATGGTTGGATTCTTCGTTTAGAAGGTAGTTTCCACTGTCAGCTGCTTGGTAGCAGTGAGCATGTAATCCTGCTCAGTGGAGTGGATGAGTTCTAGTCCTGTCACCTACTCTTCTTGTTTGGAATAAATGTAGTAACTAGCAAATCTGACTCTTTATTTATTTATTAAAGGTTAAAATGAGCTTGTTGGTGGATCTGACAAATACTTCAAGGTTCTATGACAGAAATGACATAGAAAAAGAAGGAATCAAGTATATCAAACTTCAGTGTAAAGGGTAAGTTGTAAGTTATAAACATTGAAAGCTTTTATTGAGGTTTGTAATCTCTTTTCCAAGCAACTTCTTTTTGTGTTCTCAGACATGGTGAATGCCCCACGACTGAGAATACCGAGACGTTTATTCGCCTGTGTGAGAGGTTTAATGAAAGAAGCCCACCTGAACTTATAGGTATGCTTGACTTCCTTAGGACAGTCCGCCTGCTTTCTGTGGACATTTACAAACATACAGAAGTAGTAAGTGAAATAGGACTCCATATACTCAGTAATTACCACTTGCTGATATTTTCGTCTTCCCACTAGTTTATTTTAGTGTTTAATTTTGTTATTTTTTAATTAATTAATTGGTGTGTATTGTATGTACATATTTATATGTGTGTGTTTGTGTAGGTCAAGACAGGGTCTCCTGTCTTGGAGCATATGAATTTGGCTAGGATTGCTTGCTGGCCAGTGAGCAGGGGTCTGCCTGTTCATATCCCATGGTGCTGGGTTAGAGATGTATGCTGTACCCAGCTTTTTACACTGGTGCTGGAGATCTGCACTGAGGTCCTCATGTTCGTGTGGCAGGGTATTTTCTGACCGATTCATCTTCCCTGACCTTTTTTTGTGTATTTTAAAGGAAATCGTAGATGCCATGCCATTTCATTAAGAATATTTTAGTATGTATCTCTAATTGTTCGGGGATTTTGGTTTTTCTATAATGACTACACAATTAGTATACCAAATAGAATAGTTACAAATTCCTTAATGTCATCTAAAACCAGTCTACTTTCAGTTTTCCTCACTAATCTAAACTTTCTTTTTAAATTTTATTGTTTTGGGACAGAGTGTGGAATGACCTCTGGACTCCATATATATATATACACACAGAAAAAGACAAAAAAACTGTAACAGCTGTTTATTTCCTGTATACTATGAAGCACACAGAGCCATCTATACAATATTCCTGTCTGAAATGCTAGAATGCATCTGGAAATAAATTTAATTATGTTTCTAGAGTAAATTCAACTAAATTCATAGGCTATATAATAAAGAAACAATTTATAGTTTGAAAATCCATAATCTGAACATCCAAAATTCAAATTCTTTTAAACCATAAACTTTTGAATATAGTTATGACATCACAAATAACAAATTCCAGCCCATGAAACTTGACTTAAAGTTTTTGTTAAGAGTAGTTCTACAATATTAGTTTCAGGCTAGGATTGTATGAAGCATAAATCAGTTTCATATTTAGACATAAATTCAGTTCCCAAAATAAATTTTCCAAAACTGAAAAAATTTCAAGACCTAAACCACCTCTGGTCTGAAGCTTTTTGTATAAACTGTGATTAATAGCATGGGAAAATAAACAGGAATTTAGAATATAGAATATTTTTACAAGAAAATGACTTGTTTCTTTAAGAAACTTTTAATGGCTTAAAAAGAGAGAAACTAGAGAGACAACAAAGTTTTAATGTGAATGTTGTTAGATTGTATTTTGAGAAACTAACTTAGGAAGGCATTGCTGGCCTGGTTGTGGTGATGTTCTCCTTTAAGGGAGGCTAGCCTGGTCTATGTAGCAAATTCTGGGGATTAACCTCAGGTTGTTAGGCTTTATGGCAAACACCTTTACCTGCTGAGCCATCTTGTTTGTATACTCTATTTTTTAATTAGAATGTGACTTTATGATAACCTAGGCTGGCCTCAAACTCACCAAATTCCTGCTTCATTCTCTTGAATAGTGGGATTTCTGTTATGTGGTACCACACCTGGCTTCTGTGAGAGTTCATTTTGAGTCTGCAGGAGAGTCAGTTGATCTGGCAATAACATTATGTTAGTAATGACATAGAACTTTTTTTAAAAAAGATTAAATTATTCATTATGCATATAATATTCTGTCTGCCTGCATGTGTCCCTGAAGGCTAGAAGTTGGCACCAAATCTTATTACAGGTGGCTGTGAGCCACCATGTAGTTTCTGGGAATTGAACTCAGGATCTCTGGAAGAACAACCAGTGCTCTTAGCCGAGCCATCTCTTCAGCCCCCATAGAACTCTTAATTATCTATTTCCTTCCTTCCTTCCTTCCTTCCTTCCTTCCTTCCTTCCTTCCTTCCTTCCTTCCTTCCTCTTTCTCACCCCCCCCCCTTTGATTTTTTAGAGACAGTGTTTCTCTGTATAGCCTTGGCTGTCCTGGAACTCATTCTGTAGACCCGAATGGCCTTGAACTCAGAGATCTGCTTGCTTTTGCCTCCTGAGAGCTGGGATTAAAGACCTGTGCTACCACTGCCTGGCTTTAATTACTATTTCCAAACTCTTTTGTGCTTTGAGACAGAGTTGTACTATGTAGTCCAGATCACTTATGGACTAATCTTTCTGCTTTCAGGCTCTTAAGTGCTAGAATGAAAAGAGGAATGAAAGCTCAAAACTGTTAAAATGATCCCCTTTATCTCCCCTCCCTTTGGAGATGGGGTCTTCTGTAGTCTAGTTTAGCATTAGCTTGCTGAAATGACCTTGAACTTCTGATCCTCTTCCTTATTTTCCTAAGTGCTTTGATTACAGAGTGTACTACCGTGCCTAGGAAAGTGATCTTAAATATATTCTGAAGAGTATATTTTCTTCAAGCATTTCTTTCTTGTAAACATTCATTTTAAAGTAGCATAAGCCCCAATGTGAAGATACACTCAGTTGGTTTATTAAGCACTTTAAAATAGTATAGGTTTACTATACTGAGTCAACCAGTTATCTGCAGCTTCTTAGTCATTGTCCTATTGCTATAAAGAGACACCATGACCATTGACAGCTCTTATAAAGGAAAATATTTAGTTGGTGCTGGCCTACCGTTTCAGAGGTTTAGTCCATTGGCATGGCAGGGAGTGTAGAGGCATATAGGCAGACCTGGTACTGGAGAGGTAGCTGAGAGTTCTGTATCTGGAATGGCAGGCAACAGGAAGATAGTGATACTGGATTGCATTGACCTTCTAAAACCTCAACCCTCCTCCCACCCCCAGTGACACACTTCCACCAACCATGCCATGTCTACTCTAACAAGGCTATATGTCCTAATCCTTTCAAATGCTACTCCCTGTGAGCCTGTTGGGGCCAATTTTATTTAAACCACTATAGAAGCCATTCACTTCAGTTGATTACCCTCAACTATTCTTTTTTTTTTTTTTTAAATAAATTCATTTATTTATTTATTATGTATACAATATTCTGTCTGTGTGTATGTCTGCAGGCCAGAAGAGGGCACCAGACCTCATTACAGATGGTTGTGAGCCACCATGTGGTTGCTGGGAACTGAACTCAGGACCTTTGGAAGAGCAGGCAATGCTCTTAACCACTGGCACCAGACCTCATTACAGATGGTTGTGAGCCACCATGTGCTTGCTGGGAACTGAACTCAGGACCTTTGGAAGAGCAGGCAATGCTCTTAACCACTGAGCCATCTCTCCAGCCCACCCTCAACTATTCTTAATCCCCAAATGATTTTATAATCCTTTTTTGGGGCGTGTGTGTGTCTTATTTTGACTTTCTTTACCAGTATAGTTTGACCATCTTTCACATTGATCATAAGGGAGGCTGGAAAAACTGGATCATAGTTGTGGAATATAGGTGTCTTGTTTTTGTGTGTGTTTTTCTGACTTGTGTGTTTAAAACTTAAATTCTTTTTTTTTTTTTAAAATATTTATTTATTCATTATGTATACAATATTCTGTCTCTGTGTGTCTGCATACCAGAAGAGGGCAGCAGCTCTCATTACAGATGGTTGTGAGCCACCATGTGGTTGCTGGGAATTGAACTCATGACCTTTGGAAGAGCAGGCAATGCTCTTAACCACTGAGCCCAAAACTTAAATTCTTGAAATAAATTTTGATACCTTTTTCTGTTCTTTTTAAAGACTTTTATCTTTTTATTTAAATAACATTTTTTTTTTTCATTTATTTTACGCACCAACCAGTTTACCCTCCTTCCTCTGCTCCCGTTCCCTTCCCTTTCCCATCTATCACCCCTATTGTGGGTGCTTTACTCTTTTGACTTTTTAAGGGGCCCACCACCCAGCTCCCAAATAAATCACACGGAGGCTTATTATTGTGAATGCCGAGTTTTAGTGTAGATTGTTTCTTGCCAGCTTTTCTTTTATTAAATTATCCCAACTACCTTTTGCCTCTGGGCTTTTTCTTTCTCTATTTCTGTATACCTTACTTTACTTTTTTCACCATGGCTTGCTGTGTAGCTGGGTGGGTGGCCCTTAATGTCCTCTCCTTATTCTTTTGCTTCTTGTTTTTCCTTTTATACTCTCTGCCTGCCAGCCCCGCCTATCCTTGCTCCTGCCTCGCTGTTGGCTGTTCATCTCTTTATTAGGACCATCAGGTGTTTTAGATAGGCACAGTAACACAACTTCACAGAGTTGAACAAATGTAGTGTAGACAAAAGTCACACACCTGAAAATAATATTCCCCAACATCTCCCTTCTTTCTAAACAAAATGAAAAATTTTAACTTTAACATAGTAAGACTATGCAATAAGAACAATTATCAAGTAAAGATTACATTCACAATATAATGAATTCCAGTTCATTTGTGTCTAGCAAATTAAAACACCTCATTATCTGTCCTATCTTACTGAATCTATAGTTTTATAACTAATTTACTCTCTGTCATAACTAAGGAAAACTGCAGTTATATGTCTGGTCTTCAACTCCATCAAAGATTCCAGAAGGATAACATTTTTTGAGTAAACAAAAAGTCCTTTGCAAACAACTTCCAAAAACTCTATGAATGACAGAGATATCTGACTGCTTGGACAGTCACCCAAAGTTCCTTTGCAACATTGGGAAATCCATCTTCAGCCTATAGGCCCATAGAATCTGGCAGACTTTTCAACGAAGCAGGAAATTTGAAAGAGTGTCTTGCCTGTATTGGTCATTTGTCAGTCACTTTCCTCTGTGCCCTGCAGAATGTCTGGAGTTTCTTCTGTGAAGCAGGAACCCTGAATGACCATCCTGCCTTGTTTTGGCAAAGTTTGCAGCAGTCACTTTACTGTGGGTCTTGCATGTCCAGTCTGCACAGCACATAGTCAGCAGTCAAAGGCAAGAGCAGTTTCTTTGTTCAGTGACTAACCTTGCCACAATGAAAGCAAACTCCAAAAAGGAGTTTCTTCAATGCCGATAGCTTCTCTGAAGTAAATTGG